AACTCAGCACATGATGATACACACCAGTGAAAAGATGTTTTCATGTGGGAACTGTGGAAAAAGTTTTAGTCAAAAACCAAATTTAACTCAGCACATGATGATTCACACTGGTGAAAAGCCGTTTTCATGTGGGAACTGTGGAAAAGGATTTAGTCAAAAACTGAATTTAACTCGACACATGAAGATTCACACTGGTAAAAAGCCGTTTTCATGTGTGAACTGTGGAAAAAGTTTTAGTCGCAAACAAATATTAACTCAGCACATGATGATTCACACTGGTGAAAAGCCGTTTTCATGTGTGACCTGTGGAAAAAGTTTTATTCGAAAACAGCATTTAACTCAGCACATGATGATTCACACTGGTGAAAAGCCGTTTTCATGTGGGAACTGTGGAAAAAGTTTTAGTCGCAAATCGTATTTAATTAGTCACATGAGGATTCACACTGGTGAAAAGCCGTTTTCATGTGTGAGCTGTAAAAAATGTTTTAGTCACAAAGTTAGTTTAACTCAGCACATGATGATTCACACAAGTGAAAATCTGTAGAAGTATTTTCCATACATGTCCTATGTTGAGGTTCACTATAGAATTGATTTTGGTTAAAAACTGGAATGAAAAACTGGAGGGATTTCATGTTTATAAAGCTGAAAGTTGTATTTGTTAAATGTGATCATTTGGATGTTCACATTTTTATACTTAGAGATGTGCATTAATGACACACCTTCCTTCAGAGATGCTTTATTTTTTCTGGCATATTCAATATCAAAAACAATGATAAACTGCATGTTATTGTATGAACATCCTGTTTATGTCAAACTGTATGTTGTGTGTACAACATGAAGAGCAGAGGGCTCAGCACACAGCCCTGAGGAGAGCCAGGACTGATGCTGGTAGCTGAAGAGCCAAGGGGGCCACTGACTATTTCATACATGAACAGAGTCTGACCGGACATGGACTCCCTTCCAGAACATTCTCACAAGATTGGACTTGAGGGATTCATTTGTTATATTCTGTTCAATAGAGACAGTTTGTGGGGTTTATTATTTTAGTTTTTTTAAAAATCAAAAATAGAATGTACTAGAATGGTTGAGTGTTTTCAAAAAATCTGCAAAAAAATATTTGTGATAGTTTTGCCTAGTAAAATGAGATTGAAAGTTATTTAATTTCTTTCAAATTATATTAACCAGTTTTACTCTACCTAATTAAAATATTTTCAAATGAAATAAAATGCATTTGTACTTTAAAGAAAATACAAGATTCACCACAAACTCATTTTTATGCATTGATTGCACAAAGTACTTGTGATTGTTTTCAATTATTTGCTTTTTTCTCTAATTTTAGCTGTAATATTTTGCTCTTTTCTTCTGTAGCTGTTAGACTACTGTCTTTTGATGTTGAAACTATTTTATGTGCATTTATATATGTATTTTAGAAAGAAATACAGTGTAAAATTTCATGTAAGAATAAAAGTTTTGAGTTTTCCTTTAGTGCATGTTATGCCTTATTCTTGAGCCCAGCAGATGGTGGCTCTACACCTGTACTGGTTGTAGCCGCTGTGGTTCCTGTAACTGATGGGTTGCTGGTTCTGACTCTCCACATCCATCTCAGTTGTTGAGTCCTTGAGCAAGACACCAAACCTGCCTTGCCTGCTGTTAGTCAGAAGTCCGATGGGCCGATTGTGTAGCAGCTTCTGTCAGTTTGCCCCAGGGCAGCTGTGGCTACAATGTAGCTTATCACCATCAATAAAGCACTTTGGCATCCTCTGCACTGGAAAATCAATATTATGCAAGGTAGGTTAGCTCTGGTGCTGGTAACGCTGAGGTCATGGGTTCAATCCTCACACTGGTCAATTCAAAGCTAATTTCTTTCAGACAATCAGCACTTTAAAAAGGCTAGAAAATCAAACAGTATCCATGTTATTTTTGAAAAACAGAATATGAATACTTTTCTCAAATCTTCATTCTGTTAAGATAATGTCAGTTGTTCTTAATAATAAGTATGATTCAATCCCTTCACTGACCAATCCAAATCTAAAGTCTTTCAGACAAGCAACACTTCAAAATAAAAAGACAATAAAAACTTCAAAATTAAAAAAATTCTGGAAAATAAAACCAACACAGAAATTACAATTTTACTGGAAAATTAATTATGCATGTTGATTTAGAAAAAATATTATAAGATGAGCACATTTGTCAAGATCATCTAAGTCAGTGGTTCCCAAACATTTTCTTCCAAACATCCCCCCCTATGGATTACAAAGAGCTGTCTGGTTGAACGATGTGTGTGTAGTGGGGGAGGAGGAAGGGAGAGGAGAAGGGAGGAGGGATTTTTTGGGGGGCAAAATAAATGTACATGGCTGAACATGGACAACATCGGTAGCCTACCGACTACTTAAGCTTTAGGTGATGTATTGATATTAGCTAGTCAACTTTTAACTAGCATTACATGTTCATTTTTTTTTTTTTTTTTTTTTTCATCCAGCTTCCCACGCGCCCCCTGCAATGGCACAGCGCCCCCCTTAGGGGGTGCGCCCCACAGTTTGGGAACCTCTGATCTAAGTTGTTCTTAAATCAATGGAAACTCAACATTATGTATGGCTGGTTGGCTCATCTGGTCAGAACATGGTGCCAATAATACTGAGGTCATGGGTTCAATCCCTATGCAGGCCAATTTGAATCCAATGTCTTTGAGAAAATCAACACATACAAAAGGCTGGAAAATCAAATGTTAAGCATGTTGATTTTGAAAACCATTAGAATATGAGCACTTTTCTAAATTCTTCATTGTGTTGAGATCAGGTAAGTTGTTTTTAAATCCATTGAAACTCATCATTATCTTCCACCAGCTGAGATTAGCTCAGCTGCTCAGAGGGTGGTACTACTAATGCTGAGGTCATGGGTTCAATTCCCACACTGGTCATTTTCAGAAAATTAACACTTCAAAATAGAAAAGGGCTTTAAAGGACATAATGAAGCTCATCCTCCATATGTGATGCTGCAACCTTGTCAAGAAAAAGAAAAGAAGCAAATTAAGAGTTTTGGGTGGATAATTATAAAGTAATAGTGGAATAGATAACTTTCTAATTAGTTCTGTGGTTGTTACTGTTGAAGAAGATTTTAGGTTAAAATATTTCTTAAGAAAAACTCTTTGGCTTGATCTTCTTCGATCCCAGGTTCTCCCAGCGGGCTGCGTGTAGCCGCACAAAAACAACAGTGAGTGCAGACGTCACAGAATTACAGTTTAATCCAGGGGTCCCCGGATCCGGCCCGCCCCCACATTTGGTCCGCCCCCATGAACAATACCAGAGAGCATTCAGATTTTCTTTCATTTACCGTATTTTCCGGACTATAAACCCTTTATATGTGAATTTTTCTTCAACCACCAGGGGGCGCTTTAGCAGGAAGTGAATCATTGGTTACTTGCGCGC